ATTTATGTCATTACAGCAGGAGGGATGATGTGAGCTAGGAGCCACCATCTTCTTCCTCTGTCCTGTTGCCTTCGGGCAGCCTTGCAAAGCTGAAAATCTGCTACCACAAGCACAATAGCTGCTCACACACCCATTGCCATGGTGATTGATGAAAATGGGGAAATGATGATGTTACTTCCTTGTTCACAATAAATCACCCATCCCCTCAAAGTGACTTGAGTATTATGTCTGGCCAGATTTATACGGACACCTTAAACAATTAGCTCTTTTATAAAGGCTGTTGTCTTCTTAATGCAGTGTTAAGATATATTTAGGCATGTGTCTACAAAAGAAAGCATTTCTTTCCAAAGCTCAAAGTTCTCATTCTAGCAGATTTAAAACCTTGATCTGCAAATGTTCGCCCTGTGGCTGCGGTCGCGTTAGCAAGTTATTCAGTGACAGCAGAAGCCAACCAACAGATCAAAGCAGGGGGTCTGGAGGCCCCTATACATACACTACATATATACATATCCATATACACGTACACATACATATACACATATTTATACAGGTACACATGTATGTATATATAAATACATATGGTTTGCCACCACTGAGGGCAGCAGGAAAACTCTCACAGATTATGTTACTAACAAGTGGGACATCTTAGGAAGCTGGTATATCCAGTACGGCTAAATCTACACAGCATGCGTATAACTCCCATCAAGCTTATGCTTTTGAATTTAGCTCTGTTTAAATGTGGCCCTTCCTGTAGCCGCCCTATCGCCGCCACACCACTGCTCCGCACCGTGCTGGGAGGGACCTGCCCAGCTGCTAATTAGCAGCAAGGCCACTCCTGTCTCTGGAAGGCAGAGATAATTCCCGAGGCCGTTACCCCACTAAGCTGGTCCAGCCCAGCAGGCAGCGCAGGCAGCCGTGGTGGTGCTGTTCTTCCCCACCAAGTGGGGCGATGGGAGAGAGGCCCCCAGCAGCGATGCAGCCTCCACTGCGCACACCCACCGCACCCCAACAACCCAGCAAGGCAGCCGCCCACAGCGCCGAGGTGCCTAAGCAAGAACAAATATCCTCCTTCCAGTTTCCCCTGCCTGGTCTTCTTAAATCCACACACAACAGCCAACGTCGTGACTTCCTGTTGAACATCAGAAAAGCACAAAAAAGTCCCCGCTTCATCATTTGCTTGAGACAGAAAAGGGCACTACACAGGCACAGAAGAGAAGCAAGGAGGTCGGTAGGCAATCTACCGCACTATTATTCCTTGGAGAACAAATACTGGAGGGGGCAGAGAAAAAGTGCTTTTTTTAACATCAGTTCAGGAGTCAGTTACGTGTAATGAAGCAGCTGTGACCACGCTGCCCTCGGGTCAAAATCCAGAGCACACCTTTGACTCCTGACCCCAGCACAAAGAGGTCGCTAGAAACCCTCTAACATCAACGCCAAGTCTGTCTGTCCAAACAAACATGCACCCACAGCAACGAAAGCGTATCAAAAAGCTGGGTGACCCAGCTGCCTACAGAGCAGAGAGACAACTTGCTGGAAACCCTCAGCCAGAGTATTTCTGCCCTTCCACACGTAAGGAACTCCTTGCCATAGGACAAAAGGATTCCACGGATAGTAAGCTTATCTAGTCTAAAAAGCAACTAGACAAATGCATGGGATAAAGTCTATTAGGGTCTACCAAGCACAACAGCAAATGTCCCTGAGCCACACTGTACTAAAGACAGGGGAATATTTTGAGGAGATATCAGCCCACAGTTGCAATGACACTGTCATCTGTCTCAGGTGTCCACTATTGTCCCTCACTGGCAGCAGGGCACTCAGCCAGATGGACCTCAATGTGACAGTATGTCTAACATTTCCGGAGAGTAGGTTGTGCTGAAAATCAGTCATGAATATTTGCCTAACACTGTCCATGAACTCCAGCCACAGGAACACGCATGTGAACACGCAATTTTCCTCAGGTGAGCAGGCCCCCTGGTTTCTACATTAACACAGATACATCAGTCAAAGCTTCTCAGTGGCTGGAACCAGTGTAGAAAGAGATTAGTCCATCAGCTCCCGTCTCGCACAGTCAGATAATGCAGGGCCACACTAGCATATCTAAAATAGCAATTTATTGGAAAAAGCATTATGACTATTTAGAGATGCTGCAACACGATTAGTACCCGAAACAGAAAGATAAACTGGCAACCTAAAGTCTTTCAAATCAACAACTCCCACTTGAGCTCACAAAGTCAATGATCAGCACAAAAATTGCAAATCACAGTATTTTTTTTTTAATTTATGCAAAAACTCTAGAAAATGCAGACAGAACACAGGCATCTTTGTGTGTACAGCAAAGGCAATTCGGTTTGCATAAAATTCTGATATTGTAATAGAACAAGTTCTTCCCTTGGAAAGAAGAGGTATTGGTTGTGTTTAAGTAGCGTTTCTCTAATCAAATAGTGCATAACCAGAATCACGTTAATGTTTAACCTAAGTTTAGAGACAGAATATCTGGGCCATCTACACTATCCGATTAATCAAAGACAAATTCTCCTTCCTGAAGGAACAAAAGAAAGTTGGCAACAGAAAGTAGCCTTAAGTTGTCCTTAGGTGACATGTGACCATATATGGATAAAAGGAGTTAGGGTACTTCATCCGGGAGGACCACCGCAGACCACCAGAGACCCCCAAAAAGGAGGAAGACATGCGCAGAAAGGTCTGAAAAGGAGCCAAGAAGAATGACGCCGCGTAGTTGCACAACTTATGTAGGTCAGAACAAATATGTATTAGATAGGTAAATATGCATGAATTTAATGTATAAATGTAAGGAAGAGGCTGGCCTTTGGGTGTGCTTGATTTGTGGAAAGTCCACTGAGCACCCAGGCCCAAATAAAACTGTATCTCTCCTGAGTGTGCGAGAACTGGCTTATTGCACACCGGGTAAAAGAATCCGCTTTTCAGACAACAAGATCAGCACAATTTATGAAACTGTACCCTTCCTACTGCATGTAAAAAGCCAGTAGCAAGGCTGCACAGACAGAGCCTACAGACACAATTACTCTCACTATTGGGTCAGAAGCTCCATTTTATGAAGAAAAAAAACATGCTGCTGAGATGTGCAGCTCTGTTCATACCAGGTTTATGATTGGTCTTCCTAACATCTGAGCTTTCACAGGAGAAATTTGGAGAAATTTCAGGATTTTGATCGTTGCAGGACATTTATCACCAGTAGCCAGAAAGGATTGTATCCACAATGTATACGCAAGTTCCAAAATGAACTCAGGTGTGCATAAACAAGGCAGCACTGTGCCCCTCCATTCCTCATCCACACAGGTACAAATAATCTGGGACGTGAATAGGTCCCTTTGGATTCAGGGACAGCCTTAGAAGGGCCTTTGCTCCTTAAAAGCCTCTTTGTCTGCCTTGATTTCCCTTTTGATTCCTCCTCCTCTGCACTGCAACTAACTGCTGCTAATAGCTCTTCCCTTGTTTGTTTTTTTTTTTTTAAATTAAGTATCTGCTCTTTTTACCCATCCTAACTAGCTGCTCTTGCACTTAGGTCACTCTTGTGAGGTCCACAGCAAAGCTCTTATATGGCTCAGCAAGAGATAAAAGGAAAGAACATCAGAACCTCAGGTTTTCTCCTTTTATTGCTGAGATGTGTTCTCAGCAAGCAAGTGCATGTTGAACAGCTCAACCGGCCAGAACGTGGGATGCCATCTGACAAATCTTTCAGTCCTAGGGGTAAAATGGCTTTTGGAAAGTGCCTGAACTTCGAAGCACTTTCGCATCAGAGGAGCACACCTCTTTTAGTGTAGGTAATGCGTTATACAGGCACCCACAGTGGCGTGGTGTGTGAGCACGTCCCCACCGCAGGCATCCTTCTGCCTCCCTGGCAAACCTGACAGCTAAAATGCTGGTTTGATGCCTAACAGTTAAACATTGCCGGTCTTCCTAAAAGAAGACCCACCTTACTGTTGACGTTTCCAAAAGGCTACTCATTATTTCATGCAAATCCCTGTTTTCAATAATAGCCAGGTTTTCTTCCTCCTTTAAAGACAGCTGCGCCGAGTAGCCCTTCAGAAACTAACACCACTTGAGAGGTTTTTCAAAGATCTGCACCCACAGTGGTTGCACTAGATGCTCACCATTCTTCAAATGCACTCTTGGATCACAAGTAATAGGCACCTGCTTTTTTAGCAGCCTGTATCTTTCTAATTTAATTAGATTACCACACACACTTCAGCTTTGGCCTTTGTGTAGGCTAGTTTTAAGGAAGTGTTACACACAAGTAACAGGGAGGTGAGGAAATGATCTCGGGGTCTCCACTCACATTATCCAGCTGCCAGTTGAGATCAGGACATAACACATCCCAAAATGTCCCACCTCACAACGAAGGACAGCTGCAAACAGAAACCTGGATCTTCCTCTAAATGACATTTCTCAGTCAGATCACAGCAGCGTTGCTCTCCTGCACACTATCAGTCAGTGTAAAGGATGCTTATTTTCACTGCACTGTGTTGGTAGCAATGCCCATGTCCCTGTAGACTGCTTTTAGAACGGCACAGATAAAAGCAGTATTTTACAGCTGCAGCAAGCTCAAGAAAATAAAAAAGTCCCTGCGTGCACTTCCGTCATGTTCCCCTGCCTGCCTGAGGTGAGACTAACAGTCTGCCAGCCCTTGGACGTGACTCCTGTCAGGCACCAGTGTTGCTAATTAAGTATGTTTCGCTGTCTCAGCACTGAACTCTGGGAGCATGAGGGAGATAAAAGCAAGGCACTGAGAGATTAGGAGAATCCTGTGGTTGAGGACCTGGTCTGGACAAAGCAGCAGGACTGTTGGGGGGTCTGCAGTGTTCTTCTAAAATGGCTGGTCCATAAAAAGACTAAGGCATAGGTGTGGTGGGAGGAAAGGATGGTTTTCTGCCTCTTCCAAATTGTTAGTTTATTTTGAAGAGGACAGAGACATAGCATGGGGAGGTTACCAGCGCAAGCCAGCGCCACTGGGAGCCAGATGCTCACTCCTTCACAAACCAGACCTCATTGCGTCGCCCATAAGGCTTCATGGGGGGGTCGTAACCATTGCAGAAGTAGAAGTCTTTGCGGTATGCAGCTTCACTCCCCAGAGCAGACTTCAGCTGGGCAGCATAGTTCACATAATCTGCCTCTTTGGCATAGCCACCAAACTGCCTGCAAAGAAACCAAACACAGAAAGGTGCTAAGCAGTCCTGGCAAAGCACAGAAAGGAAGAGAGAGAGAACAATACATAGCCACACTATACTCAGCCATGCATTTTGGTCCAGGTCCCACCAACATGCACTCACGCAGGCACTGTTCTTTGTGAAGCAGCACACTTTGTCTGTGATAGATTAAGTCTCCAGGGTCACACAGCCAGGGTACAGTCATCCACTGGCAGACCCCAAACAGACCCACACATTATCAGTCAGCAGAATGGCCCTGCCTTTTGAATCAACGCTGTATCAGAGGAACAGCTTCCTAGAGCTCCAAGTCAGCTCAGCCTGCAGTCCTAACACCAATGTTGTCAACAATCATGTTCACTGTGGTGTGAACAACCATCTGCTGGAAGCCAGATCATGAAACGCAGCCAAAGCCCAGTGAGCCCAAGGAAAAGGGGAGCAGGAACAGAGACGTCAGCAATTACAGACCACAATGCTATTTAAAAGGGGTGGGCTGGAACTGGTCTGCTTTATGTTGACCTTTCAACAACAGGAACTGTTTCAACATCAGCCAGCACCTCACCACCCCACCTATGGCCCAAGGTTTGAGACAAAACAGCCTGTTCTTGCAGAAGTGGCCCACACCCGCAGCAAAGGCCAGGCAGCAGTTGCAGGCAAGGGAGGAGCCAGACAGTTTAGGGTCAGCCAAAATAGTTTAAGCAAGGAGGCAGGGGAACATCCAAGAGGTTAAGTACAAGGTGAAGAGCTTATTGCTGTTGTGATGTTAGTTTGAGTCCAGGTTGTCAGTCAACAGCTGAAGACATTCAAAAGTGATTTGAAGCAATGCATTGGTTGCTTATTTCCACTATGGACTCTGCACGAGTCCATCTAAATGAGGCTTCAGCTGATACCTGTAGTTTGATGCAAACCACACCAAATGACATTCTTCATGACTACGAACCATCTTGATCCCAGAAAGTAGGGAAAACAATAGTTTTCAGAGATAAGAAATGACTCAGTACCTTCATATTCACCCTCCCCTACTCTTCACCTCTCCAGGTGAAGCAAAAAGCTTTTCAGAGCTAACCTCCACACTTGTTTTCCCAGGCAAAAAAAAATCCATATTCCAAATTGGTGCAGCATGACCAATGACAAGAAATGACATAAAACACCCATCTTCCATCTAGAAAGACCCCTCCATCTCCTTCTACTACATGTGCCTTTGTCCAGCAAGTCACCTAGTAAAACGAACATTGCTCTTCAGAGCACACTAGAGACCTCAGCACTTGGGACTGGAAATCCCAGGATGCGTTCCTTACGTGGAATAAATGGTCATCCCCTGTCTCTCTTCAATCTTAACGCTTTCATCACTAGGACAAGGAGGGTTGTCTTGAAACTGGCTTGGGATCCGCAGGGAGACCTTCACTTCAGTCATGCCCATTCCAATCCCTGACAGAGACACACAGTAGTTATTAAAGATGTCTAGGTTCTCGCGAATTCACAGCATTAACAGGGGATTCACAAAAGCTAGTTTTAATTTAGGAAGGTTCCTCATCCTGAACTCCTGATATAGTTGGTCAAGGGAGCGGTGTCCTCTGAGACATGCAGAACAGCCACATCAGGCCTATGCTAGGGCCAAACCTCTCTCTCCACTGACTAAACAGGGACTCTGGAAGTGACCTCTGGATGGCTTTTCATTAATGGTCCTGTTTTCGTGGGGCACTCTGTTCTTCTGACAAACCAACTCTAACACAACAGGGTCTATAGTTCCAGGGTAGGTCAGTGGCACATTTATATCTACACGAGTATTTAAATTATCATCTGCACTTAGTGGTGAGCCCATAGCCAATACTGGGTGATAGGAGCTTTCTCCTAAACCCTTCCAAATGCTTCCAGACATCCTGTAAGTCCTAGTGCCCCAAAACTCAGAGTTCTTCTGGCTTTCAGCAGGACGGCCCCCCCTCCAGCAACAGCATGCTGCATTTCTGCTCATGACTGCCAAGAGGTACCACGTGGCCCTGAAGAACATTTTTCTCCTCTCTTCTTCTTTCAGCAGTAGGGAACCTCCAACCCTCAGGATCAGGCAGCCACAGAAGCAGCTGAAATCAAGCCATCTTTCTAACTTATTTGTATGCTTTGATACCATACCTGTCTCTGTGGGACATGTTATAGAAAGCACCCTTTCTCCTACAGCAACAGTGATAATCACCTTTCCAGAACATGCTGCTGTAAATGCCACTTCCCTCTGCATCCAGCTCCTACTCCTGTACAGACTATAAAAATCCTACTAGCAGATGCCTGAGAAAGGTGTGAGAGCAAATGTATATGCCTCAGAACTACTCTGTGGTCTTCTCCTCCTGCTACGGATGATTACCAATGCGCATACTTTAGTAAGTTGAGAACTGGAGGCAATCACCTGGAAGCACCAATATAAAACATTACAAAGAACCACTAAAAACCAAGCTCATTATTCATTACCCTTTCATGAATAAAAATAACCAGAGTATATGATAAAATATCAAGGTCATAAAAGTGATTTCACTGCCTACAAGGGCACATCACAGAACTGAGGTGCCCCAGTTACTCTGGATTTTATCAGCTACCTCTCACCCAGGGAGCTGCGATAAATATACGTGGGACTGTCCTCACACTGTCCCAGCTGGAGAGTAATCCATT